GAGGCGGCTGTTGCTATCGCTCTGATGTCAGGCGCTCTTGCTAACGTGTGGTTGGTTATTCTGCGTTTCAGATCGCTGCCGGTAGCGGAACACAAAGGGAACGGCAAGGCTCCCGCATCTTTCAGCGAGAAGAAAGGAGTCGGCGGAGCAGACTAATACGGACTTGTGTCGAGTGGCCTTGCCCTACAAAGGCTGCCTTTAAAAAAGAAACGCAGTGTTATTTAATGAGCTGTGAGATGAGGCGCTGCTGCTAACACTCAGATCCCAGGATTCATCGGCTATTCATTGTGCTTAATGTACATGTTTCTGCACCGTGCATTTAGGAGATCCCAGAGAAGAATCCAAAACGGCTGCAGGGGAAAGACCACCAAACATGCCTACAGAAACACTACCGACAGGTAGCATGGTGAAGCCGGTCAGCCCCGCCGTCACTTTCACATCTGCCGTTCCTCTCCGCATCCTGAACAAAGGACCCGACTATTTTCGCAGGCAGGCGGAGCCTAATCCAAAAAGACTGAGTGCAGTGGAGAGGCTGGAAGCCGACAAGGCGAAATACGTCAAGAGCCAGGAGGTCATCAACGCCAAGCAGGAGCCTGTGAAGCCGGCGGTGCTGGCAAAACCACCGGTCTGTCCCGTGGCCAAGCGAGCACTGGGGAGCCCCACCTTGAAAGTCTTCAGCAACAACGCGAAGACTGAGAGTGGTGTCCAGAGAGAAAATCTGAAACTCGAGATTTTGAAGAACATCATCAACAGCTCTGAAGGTTCCAGCTCGGGTTCAGGGCATAAGCATGGCCCCCGAAACTGGCCGCCCCACAGAGCTGATTCAACGGAGCTGAACCGACACTCTTTAGCGGAATCTTTGAAGGTTTACCCCACACAGGGCCGTAGCAGCCCGCAGGAGAGCAGCTCCAACGTCAGCAGAAGGCTCCTAGATCAGTCGGCAGAGACTTTCTTGCATGTCTCTCACAGCTCCTCAGACATTAGGAAAGTAACTAGTGCAAAGCCCTTAAAAGCAATACCCTGCAGTAGTTCTGCCCCACCTCTGCCTCCAAAGCCCAAAATCGCTGCCATCGCCACCCTGAAATCCCCAGAGATTGAGGCAGTCGAGTCTGGATGCGGAGTTAGTAGAAGACCCTCCCTACAACGATCAAAATCAGACTTAAGCGACAGATACTTTCGTGTCGATGCAGATGTTGAGCGATTCTTTAACTACTGTGGACTGGATCCTGAAGAGCTTGAAAACCTCGGGATGGAAAACTTTGCAAGGGCTAACTCTGATATTATATCCCTCAACTTTCGCAGTGCAAGCATGATTAGCTCAGACTGTGAACAGTCTCAGGACAGCAACAGTGACCTTAGAAACGATGACAGTGCCAATGACCGTGTGCCATACGGCATTTCTGCCATTGAAAGGAATGCCAGAATCATCAAGTGGTTATATAGCATCAAACAAGCTAGAGAGTCACAGAAAGTGTCCCATGTGTGAGAGGAAATCCACCGTAGAAAAAGCAAGGACTGTATCTTTGTCTGTGAATATTCAGTTGTGAAGGGTTGTGAAGTCTACTTGAAGTCTTGTACACTTCTCAAATCTCTTCGTGTTGCTTGTTGTGCAATGTTTCCAAGTTGCATGCCTGTCAACATGTGAGCTGACCTGGCTTCCACTTGAACAATAACTAACTACAAAGCCTGGCTGAGCATACACACTATCTGCCAAAAGTTTAAGACGAGAATCTAATTAGGGCTTCAGTATAATCAAAGTGTTTACATGGAAAGGTTATATGACTTCTTTGGTATTTATGTGGTTCCTTGTGGATTTTATATGTCACTTTTTGTCTTAATACAGTTATTGTCAACTGATGTTACTAGCTTTGAAGTTGAAACAGAATCCCTTTGGGGGAAGGAAAAGCAAAATTGGCCAAAATAAGAGGTTTAGGCATATGACGGTAGGCAAAGCAGCCTTATCTCTTGTAGAAAGTGCATTATTGGCACATGTAAAACTGTTTCTAAAAGGCAAAGAATGTTCTGTTCTTAAATTATGTATCGTTGTTAAACTATATATCCCTACTTGCAGTAAGGGACTGTTCAGTAAAGGTTTCTTTTTTCCTGGGTAAGCTCCCTCAATTTTATAGCCAAAGTAGTCTAGTGAGTCTGCTCGACCTCTCATAAACTAAATGAATCTTGCATTTGGGTTGGTATAAGCATTTTAATGGTTTTTTTGTTGGAAAAGCTTAAAGAAGGTTGGAGTCAACAGATGGAAAAAATTGCAGGTGCAGGATTTTGCGTGTTTGTTTTTTACTCAAAGATTCCTGGTCTTAAACTTTTGACAGGAATGATTAGATCCTATAGCTGATATTGAATGCCTTTATTAGTCGAACACATCATGACTACAAACTCCATGCTGTCTTTTAATTCTTTTTGTAGACCTATTTGAACAGTTAATGAACAAAAATGGAAACACACAGCCATATCAATATAATGCCTCCTATTCAGAAGTAAATACACTCAGTAGCTGAACTATATCTGAAAAATTGTGATTATGTTGTCTTGCATATGTTATATCTAAGGCTGTGAAAGTTTGTTACAGCTCTAGGAAAGTGTAGAAACATGACAGTATGTAGCTTTTCTTTTTCGGTCCTGCCCCCCCGCCCTGATGGTTAGTGCTGCAGGTCAACCTGTTACAAATTTTTGACAATCTGTGTCTTCCCAGTGGCTTAATTAACTATCATTTCAACTGACAGTGGTGGTATGGTAGCGGAGAAGTTGAAAGTACAGTGGTCTGCTTCATTATTATTGTATACATGCTTTGAAGTAAATTGCAGCACTACCTTATACTTCATCAGCTAATAGGAAACTTTTTTATTGTGTAAATGCTGTAAGACTTTGTATATACTTCAGTTGTTACGAAATCTTTAAAACGAAGAGTGTTATGCTAATAAATAGCTCCTGGTGCAGGTATGGTAGGGTTTTTGTTCTTTTATTTACCCCTCCCATTCTTAAAACTATATCGGGAACTCAATTGCAGTGTGTTTTAGTGCTGTAGAAGGTCTTGGTTAAATAATAGTTCCAGTAAAAGGTGTCTTTTACTAAAGTGCTTTTAAGAATATAATTTTTTATAAAATAACTATAGCAGCATGATCTGTCTGAAGAACTAGAAGAGATTTTCAAGATTTCTAAAATAGCTGGCTTCTTCCTTACCTAGCAATGTTACTGTTCCCGTTTATAGCATATGTTCATAATGAATCACTGCAGTCTTCTGAATTATTCTTCAGTAGTGCATATTTATATACTTGAATATTAAAAATGTTTTACAAAGTCGGGTGCTATCTTTTCTCTAAGGAGCCTGTAGCCCAACCTCTTAGCAATAGCCACAGTTAATGCAGGTGAGCCTAGAAGCAGAGCCAACGCAGTCATTTTTTGCCTATGGAATTATCCTACATCAAGTTTATGTACTTACTTTCCAAATGATTGTCTGGGGAGGGGGGAAGCACACATTCAGTTTCAGGAGGCTACTCTATGGTTTTTACAGTTGGCTTGACAACCGAAGACTTAGAACATTCCTAGTTCAGTCAAAAAAAAGAGAAGCTATGTATTTCAGCTACAGGCACATTTGTGACATTTTAAGCTCCATGGGTTTCAGTTGGCATTGACATCACACTGTTTTTTCAAGCATATTTTTCCAATAGTAAGTTCTACTCAGTTCAGTGACTATTTTGCCAAGGAAAATAATGCTTAAGGGATTAAAGCCAAGTGTAATGCAGCTGTACAGCAATGAAATAAAGAAGTTAAAACTGAAATAAAAATGCACTCACATTGTTCTCTCTCAAGTGTTTTAAGAATGATGATAAACATGTTATCTATCTGAACTGTTGTCAGCCAAAAACAGTAATAAAGAAGCCTTTATAACTAGAAAATGGGTTCGAGCACATGCTAGTATTCTGAACTTGTTTCCCAAGGTTTGTAAGGAAGCCGTAGGCTCTTGAGAAATCAAATTCATTTCCTTTTAATGCCACAAGGGGTTTAAGCTTGTGAGCTATCTGTAAGAGAGCATTTCCTCACCCAAGATCTTAAGCAGCACCTTTGACACAGCACAGGCTCTGTGTCTTTGATTGACTCCACTATCCCTGCTTCTTACAATGTACACGTGAATAAGATTTTACAGGACCCAGACCTTCACAGTCAACTGAACTTGCAACTTCGGTGAGGTTGCAGTAATAGAAATCACAAGATTGCAAAACGTCCACAAGGCTTTGAGCAAGCAGATAATAATTGCCTTCATTTGTCACTTATTACAGTTTATGCAGATACGATTTATTTCTTTAGAGTCTTGCTATTACCTGTACGTTTGCAAAAACGTCACGTCGTCGGTGTCGGATCTGTTTTTGTTGTCTAGTGGGAATAACCGTTTTGCTTTTGCAGGCACGTCGAGAGGGTCCGTTGTCTGTCTGCCGTAGGCCATTCCTGAGTGAATTTGCAGAGGGTTGTACCCGACTGAGACGCCTCGCCAGGGACCCGCTCTGGTCTCGTTCCTGCGGCCTCCAGCAGGCATTTACTCGGGTGCAAAGCGTGCCGCAGGCGTCCATGCTTACACACCAGCTCTTGTGGCAGCAGCAGCTCTTCAGGGAGATGCATGCCTGCGGCGTCCTGGGGAAACCAGGGCTGAGCCCAGTGCTGACAGTCCTGGCCCCAGCAGCGAAATAAAATGCAGCGTCTTTTCAGTAGTTAGTGTAAATGCACGCTCACACACACACACAAGAAACAACCACAGAGGTTTACGGGGGTTCTGTTATTTTGACTTGCCAGGGAGGGAAAGGAGGAGGAAAACGATGTGACAAAGTACATACATACAGATTCTTTCACAGAATCACTAAGGTTGGAAAAGACCTCTAAGATCACCAAGTCCAACCATCAACCCAACACCACCATGCCCACTAAACCATGTCCTGAAGTGCCACATCCACACATTTTTTGAACCCCTCCAGTGATGGTGACTCCACCACCTCCCTGGGCAGCCTGTGCCCATGCTCAACCATGTACAGCTTTGCGCAGAGATAAACCTTTTCTCTGAGTGAAAGAGATGGGCAGCAAAGCAAAACTGCTCTTTTAATCCCTTCATATAGTATAGTAACAATGTTGTGAAAGATGAGAGATACAGGATCTGTGCCACAAATTTGCATTCAACAAAGACAAGTACTGAAATTTTCTCATACATTAATTCTGTTTCTGCAAGGGAGAGCGCTGTGCTCTGATCGTACGCACCATCTGAGTGGCCGAGGGCTTTTGAAGGGTAAACACGGAATGATGGTGCTTTTGGCAGAAATCCAAAAATCAAAAGACACGCTCAGACAGCAGAGCCAATCAGTATTGCTGACTTACCTCTTTTTACAGCAGTTTATCCATCCATGGAGACCATAAGCATTTGATTCCAGTCATTCAATGAAAAACAAAGCGCTTAATGGAGCTCTGCAGTACGGAGCTGAATTATTTCAGTCTGCGGGAGAACAGGAAAGGAGCTAAACCTTAAAAACAGTCTTCCCGATACCTGTTGATTATGGGGTGATAATGTTTAGTACATGATCTTCAGAGCTCACTCGTCCATAAGAAACTTTTTATTAAGCAGAGCAGTCAAACCAATAAATCTGGGAGGTGCTAGTTTTTCAAAGACCATAAAACTCACGTTTTATGTGATTAATGGTGCCACACCAGTAGCAGAGCACATTAGGCTTAGAATATAAGAGCATCTGGAGCTTTGTTCCCATGGACAGTAAGGGTCCGTTGCCTATTTTGGCAATGAATATAAATGTAGATACAGCGTAAGGTCCCTTTGTGCTGTACAAGAGAATAAATTGGTCAAGGTGTTTTGTCCTGAATTGTAACATAACTCTATATTAAAATCCTTGTTACCAAGGCTGAGATGTTTACTGATATTCTGAATTAATCTGACATTCCTTGCTGTCAGCAGAAATTCTCCAATAATCTGCCTTTAGGAATATATCACCTATAGTTTAATGGGAAAGGCCATTAAAATTGTCTGTTCAGTGTAAGGACTTTTATCTCCTGATGATGGCATCTGTTAAGTGAAGCTCTAAATAAAAAATTTCAGTCAGAAGTATTAACCCATGAACAGTTTTTATTCTTCTCCCTAGAAGCCCAAGTAGTAATCAATAGCTTTGTCTTAGTGTTTGTTACAGTCAATATGTTGTTGCTAAAATACTCGGATGTTGTCCGTTTGGGGCGCAGCACAATCAGGTGGAGACACCTACAACATACCATCTGTCTTGCCCTGGTAGGTAGGAACAGCCTTCAAGCATATTTTGTATTTGATCCCTTAAGAATTTGGTTGTGGCTGCCCATTAAAACTCAGTAAGTAAAAGTGATGACTTTTTTTTTTTCCCCCCAGTTTTCATGAAAAACAATCCATTATATAACAAAAACTGTAGCCTCTTAAATGTCATTCTTCTAAATTTAAAGAAATTTTCATGATGGTCTTATGACAAGAGTAAGAGTGTACTAGTATCTGTGCTATTATTGTTTCCTGCTTTTGGCACGGCAAGTCTTCTCCACCTTCTTGGTGTCTTGCCTTTTCTAAGTTTTCCCAGCTTACGTTCTTCCTTTCTGCATGTTCCTTCCTTGTCTTGTCTGGCACTTTCAACTTCTCTTCTTTGAAATGTATGACCAAGGTCGTCATCTTCTCCTTGCTTAGCGCTCTTCTTTAGCATCCTCGTCCATCAGTTATCTCAATGCCCCTGAATCCCAAAGCAACTTTCCCACAACTTCTCCTGTCTTTTACAACCCCCATATTCATGGCAGCCTGTTTGCAAGAGAGTTAACTCTGTGGCTGCGGTTGAGCTGCCCTGTCCTGAACAGATAGTGGTCTATTTCATGGATTATTTTTTTAATTTTCCAGTGTGCCATGCTATTTGCAGGCAGGATGAAAAAGCAAGTGGTGTTTCTTCAGGAAGAAGTAGCGATTGAAAACACTCATGAAGAACAGGATGCCAAACATCTTGAAATACCCACCTCATGGTCCAAAACTGCCTGTATTTCTTTCTCAGCTGTATCTCACTCAATGCATACCCTTGCTACTTCTTTAGCTCTATCCAAAATGCTGGCTTGAGGACCACGGTGTGCAAAGGCGACACAATTTCCAGTGAAAAGCGTGACACAGGCCTGCTAGCCAAGCAATAGTTACCATTTTGCTTTCTGCCATTTGGTATCATGGTACCTGCGTGTCTTACACCTGTGGCGTCCAGACCACTTTTGAAAGTCACACTTGAAATTTGAAAGGTCACACTTGAAAATTACCTGCTTTTCAAGTATATTAATCTTCTGTGAAGTCAGTCGTGCCATTCTGAACTGTGACAGCTTTGCTACTCTCAGCACAGAGCAATCAGAAATGTACTGACAATGATTTGGAGTGGCTTAAGGAGTAGGATAACAGGGTGCTTAGCTGAACGTGTACTTTATTTTACTCAAGTTTTTGGGAATTATTTTTTTTTCCCCTTATTTTAAATACGTTGGGGGGGACACAGCAGAAAATTAACTTAGTCTTATATATTAATGTTGGCCTGCAAATAAGACTGGAAAGCACAGGTTCAGCTAATGTGTCAACTGCATGAAAATTGGAGTATTAGATTTTGGCAAAGACTTGATTTTCTTTATCCATGTTTTGCATGTTTGGAGCGTATCAACTTACACGTATCTGGCACAAAACTCACGCATCCCATCTGAAAACGCTTTCTGCGAGCTTATGGGTTTGAGTCCATCTGCTGAATTTTCTTTTGTGTTGAAGGACTCTGAACAAAGAGCTGACAATGCTTTCAATTTCCCATGGTTTTGTTTCTAGCATGTTCGACAAACGAGGCCTTTCAAACCCTCTCCTAATAGACAGTGAAAATAGGAGCTTTATATCAGTATACGCCCTGGTATCGAATTCAGGAGGTAGAGAGCAGGCAAGAAGTCATACTGTAAAATTATTTTTTTGGGACGTTGTTTCCTAATGAAATTGCAGAGTTGGGGGTTTTTTCCCCCAAAATGCCATACAGTGAAACAGAACCGAAGAGACTAATAAAACCTTACAGGGTTTCCCCACAGTGGCATGAGGAAACTTTAAAACACGTCTGGGTTCTTCATCTGGGAAGACCATGAAAAAACTTGATACGCAGATTCTGGCCCCATTGAAGTCAATGGGAATTTTACCACTGATTTTAGGTGGGGTGGGCAGAATTTCACCCACTGTCAGAGCTTGACAGTTTCCCCTGTTTGGAGGTGGGTTTTTTCCTTACTGTAAATCCTGGGCATCAGTTTCCCACTGCTTCCTCACCTATTCTTCTATCTCCCCAGGCAGCACGAGGGGGAAAGCCCTCCAGGCACGGCAGGTAGGAGCCCTGGGAGCAGTGAAACCTCCCGCAGTGGTCGGAGGTCCCTCCTGGCTTTCAGACGGACCCACAACAGCACGGCTGGAGCACCCGCTGTTCGCAGCGGTGTTCGCCTGGGCCATCGACCTTGCTTGGTTCAGAGGGTAAAAAGCCAGTGTTTTCTCTGACCTTATTTATCTTCCTGGCTTGCA